GCAGCTTTAGTCTGAAGCTGAAGTCATTGAACAAAGTTCAAAGAAAGACAGCAGTAGATATTATAACATACATTAATCATATTTTGGACATATAATCCTTTAGAAGCACCAAAAAGACAAACAGTAAATTTTAAATAAATCCATCAATGTAGAAAATTACAATTCATGTAGGTAAAATTTCCTACATGCTAATGAGAACCTTACAATGGTTAAACAAATGCAAGTAATTATTGAATAAAGACATCTTTAAAATACCATCATAAATTTGTCCTATGGAGCCCACAGTTAGAACATTGCCATATGATTTCCTCTTCAGTGATGGGAGTCCAGCTTGGTTGACTGATCGAATGAGTGACCAGAGACATGTGGACAGATTCATTATATTTCCAATTGGTGTTAGGTTCAGTTTATAAAACCTTAGCTGCTTTTCAACATCTCTGTGGCCCTTTCTGTACACATGTTGGGCTGGTATTGATTTTTGCAGCGTACTGTGAGTCATGTATTCGTGCTTTATAATGCATACTTTCAAAGGTCTACCTATTTTGCTGAGATAACATCTGCCACAATCACAAGGAACGTTACACACACACACATTGTCTCATCTGCTGGCTTCTCTAACAAATAAAGTATTCTGTGTCCCACAGAGTGTGTGTTTAGTTTTAAAAATGGTCATTACATTTTAGTGGTTCCCGGTGTATCATAGTTTTTATAAAATACCCTTAACATATGGGTTACTGAAGGTGCCATGTGTCGGTCTGAAGGACGGTTTCATCTCCCTAGCTGGATTATAGAATCAGGGTAGTGTTTTGAGTATCCATTGAGGATTGGATCCTCTATTATGTTTCTAATTGCTCTTTTGAAATCCATGAGATCCTGACATATGACCTTGGTTCTGTTGACCAAGTTGTGAACAGTTTCTCTTTTCACATGCTAGGAGTGGTCAGACTTGAAATGTAAAGAGTGTCCAATGTGCATAGTTATGCTGTACACTTCATGGATGAACTAGGACCCCTCTTCATGACCAAGATTACCAAGAAAGAAAGGGCAATTATTTCTTCTACCACAGTGAATTGTATGGTGAGTGTGAGGCTGTTAAGGTGGCAGAGAAATTGTTATAATCTTGCTGGCCCATGTGGCCAAGCTGCAAAAGTATCGTCGGCATATCTTACGCATGCAGCAGGTTTGTGTTGTGCTGTATTGAATGCTAATTATGCAGAATGTCCCATAAAGATACTACTGACTAGCAGCGATAAACAGCTGCCCACTTTCCATTCCCTCTGTTTGATAATAGAATCTATCTTCAGACTGGAAATACATAGTGTTTATACAGATATCCAGTAATTCCATCTTCAACCTGTAGAGATGAGTTGTCTGTAAAAGTAGGATCTGTGTTAAGTCTCTTTCTGATAACATGTAAGTCTTCGTGATGAACAGACTGACTACATCAGAACTGGCCAGGGAAACCATGCATTCTTGGCAAAGAAGTCTGTATTTCCAACTGAAGGGTTCAGAATCCTTTGGAGAAGCTCTAGAAGAGAATACCAAGGACATCCATTGGAGCTTAATTCTGGTCGAAGAGGGATGTCTAGCTTGTACATTTTTCGAAGTCCCTAGAGATGAGTTGGCTTACAGTGGTAGAGTGTCAATTTATGTTTCAGAACACTGGGAATGACTGATTATGCTTAGAAAAACGTTTCCTCATCTTCTCACAGTTTATGTTCAGTCATTGTGTAAAGGTTTGAAAATTCATGATTGTAGTACACTGGATATCTTATTTTCATATATGAACTCATTCAATGCTACTATATATATTTGCTTGTCCACATGTACATCTCTTATTTCCTGTTTCGTTCTAGAGATTTCAAAGCTCCAGATTCCATTCTTGTTACATTAGAAGTCGAGTTATTTTTCCGACATAGATCAAGTCTTCCAACTGAACTCCATAACCAAAAAGGAAGACTGAGGAAGAATTAATTGCCTACTTTCCATTCACTGTGTTGAGTTTCTGACATGACCGTGCAAAAAACACCATGTCCAACTGTTTTTCTTTTGTTGTGTGTGTGTATGCATTGCCGCTGAACATGTTTACTGAGTCATTTCTTGGCAACATTAGGGAGGGGGGACACAGCAAGCCTCCTTTTAATTTTTCATAAGGAAAATAGGCAAAAAAAGAGTAAAGTTGACTGTGTGCTAAATTAATTATGCCCCACACCATGAAGATGTATGGGAGAGTGGAGGTTAGTGCCACCATCCTTGACCTCAGCACTATATGGATGTGAGTGACCATATTCCCACCTTTTCCGCTTTACCCCTGGGGAAAGAGACCCTGGTGCCCAGAGAGTAGAGAGCTGGCTGGATCCATATTGGAAAATAATCCAGTAATAACTGACATATTCATGTAATTATTGCCTGATGATGACCCAGAAGGGTTGAAACATGTAGCAGTACAGCCACACAGTAAAAAAAATTCTAATACAATAGTAGTTATTTGTTTATTATAGAACTGTTGTGTTAACCAATGCATTAAGGATACCATAAACTATATCCTGTTTGATGTCATGAGACAACAGGCATGATGAATAAGGATACTGTGATTTTGCAGGATACCATCAGTTTATCTCAAGCGGAACCCAACTCTCATAGTGAGACATGTCTTACATCTTCTCATAATGAAAATCAGCTAGTCAGTATAAAAGTTGAAGAGGTCACAGATATACAAGAAGAGGAAGATCCTCTACTAATAACATTTCCAGTGACAAGAGCTGAACTTCGGGTGAGTTGTAAGTGTGGCTGTTATTTGGCACTTTTCACGTGTATCCAAACTGGGTATTGCTCAGTACTCCTTCTAGTTTGTCCAGTGTTAGAACTCCATTCTCATGAATGAATTTTGAAGCCAATAGTGGGTTGATTACAAATTGCTTGTGCAATGCCCCTTTCCTTTTGCCTTGAAACTGATTTACATTTGTACAGGCTGGCTCAAGACATCTATCATTTGCAGCATGACCAGTCTAGGAAGTATAAAATATAGTTAGAACCATTGCATTGGACACAAAGAGTTGGAAAACATAGAAGGTGGATAGTGGCTAAGTTAAACAATGTTAGTCATGTGTAAGTTAACCCTTCAACAACACATGGCCTTTAATTCCTGGTCAGACAAGATGATATTTAAACGTTTAAAAACTGCAATTCTTATTTTTTCCTAATTATCACATTATGTTCAGAAAAGTATATAAAATGGGATTATTAATCCACGCAGGTTTAGAATTATTTTTAGTACACTAAGCTTATAAAATTATAAATAATTATATTGTATCACCTTAGAAATTGAGCTTGGTGTAATAGTTATGAAATCATTCGATGCAGAGTCCCGCATCACACCAACATACAGTATCCTTCCTATTCTAGCACTTGTGACACACAACACATTGTCTTTGTGTTAATGGTTTCTTCTCAATTTATGGAATCATGCCTATAAAATGTCTTTATAATAGATGGGACACTGTGTTGTCTGACAAAAGCCAACCCAGCACTTTGCGTTCTACGGCGTAAGCATACGTCACAGACGGTACCTCAACTAACTGAATTCTGAATTACAGCTGATCATTTCCTTTCCCAGGCTTTTTCATGTATATTGTCATCGCATTCAGAATTGAGGTATTCAAGAGTCTGCAAAACAGCTTCATATATCATATATTTATTCGTTTCCTCTCAAACAAGTAAGAATGAAGCTGGTCCTTCACATCAGCTCCTATTATTGATTGTAATCCAACACCAAAACAGGTTTGACTGCTTCCTTGCACCTAATTTTAACAGTCATGGTATTATGAACGTGATATATGGAAATCATAGCCATAATTCTTTGTCACTCCATTTTGTAACCTGAAACAGGCCCAGAATGCTGTCCTATGACTTCACCTCTTTATAGTTTCATGTTTTTTATATTTATAGGAACATTCTTTCAGGTCAGTTTCAGTGTACCAGCACAGTCTGTCTTGTGTATGATTATTATCAGTGTCTTGGCTAAAGATGGTGAATTACAGAAGTTATCTATCCACACAGTCTGGCCTTGTTTCAGTAGAGGTTCTGCCAGATTCAGAACAGTGGCTTTTGTTTTATTGGTGTCATCTGTGATCAGGGGGGAGTGAAATTATGTATCTTTGCCTATATATATGCAAGGAAGGACCATAAGTACCTCGTGGTAGCATCACGCAGCTCTTAATTTTAATCCCAAATTTGGATGCCTTGAAGGACAGGCACTGTTTGAAAGATTGCCTTTTCAAAGCATCAGTGATTCATCAGTTGAAATGACCTGGTTTGAGAGATATAATTTCTGAAATATGTTATTCAAATGTGAAATTACTGGGAAAATTTTGAAAAGTTTTTGGTCCTGCACAGTTACTTATGGTTTCATTGTTAGCAAAATGCAGAAATATACACATTAGATCCAATCTGTCTCATGTTATAATGTCTCCAAACCCTGGTGTGGAAATCTCCAAATGGACATGTTGTTTTGGGAAATTTATGGCAAAATTTTCTCCTGCACAATTTGTATGACTTTTTTTTTTCACATAATCATAAATGAAACCTCTTTATTCTCAATTGTATCTCACATGAGTCATAAAGACACAGAACAGGGCACTATAGATAGAAGCTTATACAGGGTGTCCCAGGAGGAATGTGCCAAACTTCGGGAGGGTGTTCCTTATGTTAAAGTATGCCGATATAACCCAAAACACCTATGTCCAAAGTTGAACGGTTATGGAGATAATGGCCAGAGAAGTGTCAAACTTTGACCGGGGTTACACACTTGTTGATTACAAAATAGATATTAAAACTGGCAGGAATATGTGGATTCTGTAATGTTAATAATGTACGTAACATCAAACCAACTTGTGAGTGACGGAAAGCCATAAAATTGAAGTACAAAATACTCGCTCGCCATGTCATAATTGTCCTTAGGTTTCCAAGCAGTATACATAACACATGACTGGCGNCCCATAAGCATGAACAGACCCAATAAGACATAAATTTCTGCCTCTCTTACAGGTTTCCGTGCCCATCAGGCAACCTGATTAATAATTGACGCCCACATATACACTGTTCTTTGCATATGTTGGTTTATTTGATAGTTGTGCTGCCCCTCGAGGTCCAACACTGGCCATGAAATTTTTCGTCCCTTATAGTTTTCCAGGTTTTCCCAAACAAAATCTTGAGTGATACTGTCGTCTTCATCACTGCCATCATTCACCACACGAAGAAGAGCATCAACCTCCATTTCATTGTCAGTGTCGGATTCTGAATATAATCAGCTTCCTTCTGATTCACTTAGAAGTAAAGATTCTCCCATTTTTTCATCTTGCAACACGGCTGATTGCTTCTTGGCAATGCCTGCCAGGGCTGCTACATGCAAAGTGCATTATTCGTATTTATAGAGCAGAAGGGAATGTACAGCAGAAGCATTCATACATATACCGAGTGTTCATTGTGCAGTCCTAGTAGCTTCTCTGTACATTGTCATGGCACATGCTATAGGAGCAGCTGACTAACTGAAGAACTGAAGGCCATTCATTCGGTGATCACCTGATCAGTGAGCAGGTCAGTGTTGTCAGTGTTACAACATAAAAGTCTTATATAAGCTTCTATCTTTAGTGCCCTGCTCTGTGTCTTTATGGATCATGTGAGATACAATTGAGAATAAAGAGGTTTCATTTATGATTGTTATGTGAAGAAAAGAAAGTCATACAAATTGTGCAGGAGAAAATTTCCCGAAACAACATGTCCATCTGGAGATGCAGTTTCCAAATTAGTGAAGAAAGTTTGAACCCACTGCATTTTAATTGACAGAAAGCTGTTAAGAAGAAGTCATGTTTTAACTGAGGAAAAACTTGATGACATCAGTCATTGATTAGAAAATTGTCCTGGAAAATCTTTGCAGTGATTAGCAAAACAAAGTGATATTTCTGTAGGCAGTGCGTAGAATGCAACTAAATTGTTGCATGTTTGTCAGTATAAAATTACTATTGTTCCTAAAATTAGACCTGTGGATTATGAAAAAAAGAGTGAGGTTTTGTAATTGGTTTATCAGTCGTGTGCATGACAGACTTATTGACCCTAAGCTGACATTTTTTACAGATGAGGCTAATTTTAATCTCTGGGGATATGTTAACTCACTAAACAACAGGTATTGGAGTAGTGAAGATCCTCGTGCCCTAATTCGCCTTCCCTTTATGACCAAAAGTTAGGCATATGGTGTGTGATTAGCACAAACCATATCATTGGGCCAGTATTTTATGAAGGAACTCTTGATGCTGAACGATACATTAATGAAATAATCCACTTTTCATGAATTTGGTGCCTGCAGAAGAAAGATTCGGTTATTTTATGCAAAACGGTATTACCCCATACACAGCTAATGAAACTATCCAAGCATTACGCAGTGTGTTTGGGGAACTAAATGGGGAGGATAGAATTATTAGCAAGGTTTGTTGCCCCCTAGGTCCCCAGATCTAAACCTCTATAATTTTTATTTGTGGGGAAAATTCAAAGTTGTGTATGCCAACAAACCACATGACCTGGAGGCTCTAAAACATAATATTTGTGAAGCAATTTACAACGTTCAGCAACATAAATTGCTACAAGTTTCCTGAAACCTGTTTAAAAGAATTCAGACATGTCTCACAGCAGAGGGCAGACATTTTGAACATCTTCTGTGATGGTAAGTACATTATTAATTACTATACTTGATTAATAATTAATGAAACAATTAAATAACATTTGCTAGCGGTTCCAGCCATGTGGCAGCATTTTTCTTGGCAAGTGGTGCAGCACCTTCGCAGGAAGTTGCCAACAGTAATATCAATATTCAATCAGCCTGCGCTCTGAACACAATGTAGAAGTGTTATCATTTCCTATATAGCAGTCAAGTTCAAGTTGTAGAAACTGCTTGGTTACAAATACCCACATGAAAGCAACACTGTCTGGAGCGTGAAATAATGCTTGCAAAACCACAATATGGTTGATTTTTGTTTCAGTCAGCATGCAGGGACAGCACACAATCATTCACTCTCTTGAATAGTTCAATCGAATATATATAGTTCACAGGAATTCTCCAGGGTGGAGATAGGTTAATACGGTAATATAGCACACCAACTGGTGAGGTAGAGAACTTTTCCAAATAATTCAATTGTAACACAAATGCCACTGGAAGATAAAAGTGGAACAGTGCATATACAAAGTGATAGCCTACAATTTCTTCCTTTTTTTCATACCAAAAGAATTACTATATATGTCAGACAGAAACAAGTGACAAAAACCGTTGGCATGTTGCATACATCTGATGGCGTTGAAGGGTTAATAACATTTTGGCAGTTCCATGAAAATACAGCCAATCATGACAGGTGGTCATCTCCTAAAATTTCACTGCATCAAGTTGTAGTTTACTTTCATTGATTTTTAGTGTACCATTCCAAATTTGAGTCTGCAAACATGGAGGAAGCATGGATTATGCCTGCAGACTTTTTGTCTTTCAAGTGTTCCCAGAGATAAAATAAGGAACTCAAATTCAGATATGAGAACAGTAATAGCCATAGTTCTCTATATGCTTTTCTTTCTTCATGAACTCTCCACAGAGACTACATTCCATGTTTCATGGTGTGTGCTGTCTTGTGCTGCTGTAATGTGCCCAGCTTGTTCTGTCATTAAATCTTTAAAGAGGGGCTCAAAAATATCTTTCATACAGGTCTCTGGATTAAATGTGTTAAGAGAGATATTGGACATGGGATTCTTGCAGCACTTATCAGCACAACACAGTCAAAGTTTGTGATTTTGTGATGGCATTTGGTAAAGAAATATATTGTGATAATTATGTGCCTGGTTTTCTCCACTTTTATTAGGTCTGTTCACAGCCAGATATTTTTGTGTATGTTTTGATTTTACCACTGATTGATGTAAGCAGCCCTAGATGCTGATACACCTTGTAACTCAGTCATGTGCACTATGCCTTGCTTACAGTTACAATTTTTTTCCCTACTGAAGTCAATTCCTGTATTTTCCTCCTTTTTCTTTTTTGCCAGAATACTCCAAATGAACAATATCTCTGTGGTGAGAATGATCCGTATTCCCGTCATCAGAACACGTGTAGTGCACAGCATCCATGTACTGAAGGGTGTCATAAATCATTCAGTCCAAAGATTCATCACAAGGTGGATCAACGCATACGCAGTCATGAGCGTCCATATTCCTGTCGTGTGTGTAATAAATCATTCCGTAGAATGGATGTTCTGAAGGAACATAAAAGTGTACATAGTAGGGAGCGTCCATACTCCTGTGATGTATGTAACAAATCATTCAGTAGACAGAGATACCTGAAGTCTCATCAAGATATAATACATAGCGAGGTGCGTCTATATTCCTGTGAGGTGTGTAATAAGTCATTCACTTATTTCAGTCAGTTGAAGAGACATCGTCACATACATAGTGCGGAGCGTCCGTACTCCTGTGATGCCTGTAATAAGTCATTCAAGTGCAAAAGTACTCTGAAGGAGCATGAACGTATACATAGTGTGGATCGCCCATATACGTGTGATGTGTGTAATAAATCATTTACTACTATCAGTCATATGAAGAAACATCAACGCATACATAGCGGGGAACGTCCTTATTCATGTGATGTGTGTAATAAATCATTTAGTAGAAAAAGCGATATGAAGGTTCATCAACGTACACATAGTGGTGAGCGTCCATATTCCTGTTCCTTTTGTAAAAAATCGTTCCATAGGAAGCAACATTCATGCACACGTAGTGGGGAGCGTCCATATTACTGTGATGAGTGTAGTAAGTCATTTCGTATGAAGCGTGCCCTGGTGATACATCAGCGCATACATAATGGAGGGTATCCATATTCTTGTGATGTTTGTAAGAAATCATTCCTTTTTCAGAGTCATTTAAAGAGACATCTGCGTATACATAGTGGGTAGTTTCCATACCCTGAGGGGATGTATGTGATGCGTTTTAGTATGAAGGTAATTTGGAAGTATGTATAAGTATTCAGAAGTCACCATACTGTTGTAATTGTAGTAATCATGTCATGTCAATCATAAAGTATAGAGGCAGTAACATGTACAAGTTGAACTTCTCAGTATAGAGCTCCTCTGAACTACATATCTTTTCAGTTGTAAAGTCAGCTAAAAAATCGTGTTCTACAAAGTATGAAATCAATATTTCAATAACATTATTGCATCCTCTTTGGCACCTGCTGTATAGTAATTTGTATTTGTGATTGACTTTTCAATGGCTAGTCTTACCACAGTTGGGTCATTCCATGTTAAATAAACACAGGTCACAAACTAACGAACTCAAAACAGAATGCTTTACATTTATTAATGCAAGATAATATAAAATGGCAAATTTATAAAAATAAATGTTTTTACAATCATAGCATTAAGATTATTACTGTGAATTGAATAAGTCTTGGAGAAAAATATGGGGAAATATTTTAAATTATTACAACAAACAATACCTCTACTGAGACAAAACTGAACAAGCTGTACATCTGCAGGTCCAAACATGCCTGGTTTGCATTGTTTAATATTTAGCTTATTGGTGAGTCATCCTGTATTTTCTGTATTGGCAGGTGTGATGAGGTTTCGTGTGTTCTGGGCTGTCTGAACAGAAAGCTGTACTGCTCAGTGATCTTTGGGCATATTTACTTCATGCTGCAAATTTTGGTGATGCAATGTGCTTACAGTAATTATGAATCTCATGTCATGAGTATGTTATACTGTAACCTGTTTAATGAAAGTGAATATATTAATGTCAGAAACAACTTGAGAAACACACTTTCTTAGATGTCTGAAAAACTTCCTCACCTGAATAATGATTGTAAGTTCTGTGTGGTGAGAGTTGCAAGAGGCCATCAAAGGTGAAGCGTACTTTAAATAAACAGAAACATGGTAGTGACAGTGATGAGACTGAACAGTTTCCTTAACTGAAAGTTTGCAGTTGTTTGGTTAGTCATCTATCAAAAAGAAAAGACTAGGCAAGGTTAAATTTAAAGAATATTTCCAAATGAATGGGTTTGATGAAAATATTTTAAGTTCTTCAGTTATAGATAAAAGAACAATGTTTGTACATTACCTGGTGTACTCAATACTGCAGAAATCATGTTCCAGGCATTATCCTGCATGTTCTGGTTGCGATATTCTTCTAACCCTTTGTTCCACAAACATGGATACGTCCTTACTTCTTCAATTAATTCCTCCAGTGTCATTTTCATCTAAGCGAATACTGTGCTGAATGATATGTAACACATGTTGTAATCAGAGTGGGAAATTACTGAGGCACACAGCTGACACCTGGAAGCGACGTTTTAAAAATATAGCCGAGAATCAAACACTCTGTGATGCAGCTAACATAGGGAACATAGCATATGTAGCGTATGGAAGTCTGTGTGGTCAGCTGCATTGGCAATAAAAGGAGATGTTTTTCTGTTCGTATAGTGAACATAGCGTACGTAGCACTCTGTGTGGCCGCACCTTAATGCAATAAAAAATTCATACCAAAATTGGGGTACAGTGAAATACTGAGTTCCCCAAGGATCAGTTCTAAGGCTTTTGCTTTTCATGAGATATATATATATATAAATGACCTCCCTCCAGCAATAAATACTTTCAGTACCTGTGATATTTGCTGATGAGTATCATAATTTATAGTAAACATTTTGGTAATGTTTGTGTATTGTCAAACAGCTCTCTCTCGTGAGAAAAATGGCAACCAAACAGCACCCAATGGAAAATCCTACCAGGCACCCCTCCCCCTGTTCGATGTTACCTTAACAAGAACCTTAATAACCTTATCAAGAGATATTCAAGCTGAATAGCCTTAACCATATTACCACTGAGGTAGAGTGATACAGAGCTCAGACAGGCCTTGCACAGTGCTGCAAATGCTAAAATTTCAGCCATGTCTGGGCCAATTGCAAGCAACCTCTTCTATGATTCTGGTGCATAGAGAATACCCTGAATATACAAATACAGGATCTACGCCCAACTGCTGAAACAGCACCCTAGGAGAATGAGAGAAACTTCATCCAGTGTCATACCGAGGCTGCAGCCATGGAAAAGGAGAAGAGCACAATGAACTCCCAAATGACCCTCTGGGAGGACGTTCTTCTCTAAATACACCTCACTAGAGCAGTACGTCATAGCTGCACTGCATCAAGACACGCAGCGTCAGCAACCCCAGGCACTGCAGACNAGAAAATCCCCCCCCCCAATGCTGCAGAATCTGCCACAACAGGGAATTCAGAAGACATTTGTCAGTACAGGCTCCTGGTTCACCTAATAATGGTGTATTAAAAATCGCCACTGCATTGCAATAGATCATCACAGAGCTTAGTGAAGCTGTCAGAAAACGAAAACAATGGTTATTATAAAAATGGTACTTAACTAATGAATCAAAATGTGTTAAGTATTTCTCATTGCAGTAATTGACAGAGTGTATGTGGTGTGCATAAAATACAATTGCCCTAAATGGGACGCTGCATGAGTGCGTCAAAGACTATATTCACAACACCACTACGACGTGGATGAGATAAATACGAACACAACATTTTAATGGTTTTAGTTCAGTTTTATATAAGAGATACATAACACACAGCACAGTATTATTACACTTAGATGAAAACACTGGCCAATGTAGGGAGAAATAATTTTACAGAAAAACAGAAGTGAACATGAAAATGTGTGTCTGATGATGGCCGAAACATGCTATATGTGAATCTAATGTAGTGTACTTATACACATAAACTGTAGTGTCTGAAATAAATAATAAAAGAAAGAAATGCTTATACTTCAATGTAAGATCAGCTCAGAAACTTTCACCTCTTGTGAGTGTAGTTATATTTGTTTAACCAGTTCACTTACACCAGTTTCGAAAAATGTAACAATTTCCTCTGCAATTCAGGGACCAGTGTTGCAAAAAGTTCATGGGCAGAGTTTGTGGTATTGTGATATTTCACCTTTTTACCTGTTGAGCTGTTAGCAGTGGCTAAGGCCATATTAGTGTACTCAGGGTTATTCGGTTTTGGGACTTTTCCCATTATCCAGTATTCTAGAAACTAGAAGACACGAGTGTCATCTAGTGATTGAGGTTAGCTCTTTCTAAGGGAACTGAGTAGTCTCTCTCCCCCTTCACCTGAGGACGGAAAAAGATCCAGTTTCTGAAACAACATGTCTCCTAGAATACCGGACAATGGAAAATGTCCCAAAACCCAGTAATTCTGAGTGCTATGCACCACTGTCAGAACCCTTTAGAAGCTCCAGTATAGTTTCATGAAGGCCGGGAATAGCTATCAGGATAATTTATTCCAATCACGGCAAAAGCATAGAGTTATACCATAGGTGCAGCAGTCTAGCAGAATCAGTGGTGCTGGATATTTCATCCTTTCCTGCCCATACTGCAGCCCTGTAAAAGTAGAACAAATAGTATCGAAACCTTGAAATAGTTCTTCAGTAAACATTACAAATTTGGTGCACATTCTAAATTTTAGAGTTATGTTGAATAAACTGAACACAGACATACACTAAACTTAATTTCTTTGTTGGAGTAACTAACACATAATAAAGTATCATGAATTAAAACATACATACCATGCTGGATCTTTGGGAAAGTTGAAGAATTTGACTCCTTGCCTGCTTCATGACAAGCACCCAGCAGCACTGCAAGTTTTCGTTTTCATGTTTATCCTGCAAGAGGCAGTACAAAAATTATAACACCTTCATGGTACTCTTTGACCTCCTTAACATTCTACAAACAATCTTTGGGCTCAACGGAAAGTTGGAGAACAATCATAAAACAAATATGGTTTAGATAACAGTCCATCATAACCTCAAAAATTTGGGCTTGAAAGAATTCTATATATTTCTAATTACATTTGTTGCAGTAAACATAACATTCATACACACAAATAATATGTTTAACATGGAGATGTAACTTCGTTCGTAAATGCCTAATTCCGTTTCGTAACCACATCAAATCAAAATTCATACTTACCAATTTGCCTATTTACCATAACCGCACATAATTGAGGAAATTCAAATTGGTTTGTGAAGGCTCTCTGATTGGTCGAGATCTGTGTGTAGTATCTGCCTCCACACATAGAGGCAGTAGCTACCGTGTTTCCCCTTCTCCCGACCCAGTTGCCACCCCAAGAACATTACTACACTTTGCCGTTGTAGCTTTACCGCAGGTTTAGATGTCGCCACAGGAAAATGGGATTACATAATCAGTACATTGAGACCATTGAGATGAGTGAGATGCACATCTGGATGTACATAATCTGTATCAGTTTTGGAGGGAAGAACATGCAGTAAATTGAAATATGGCATCAGTTTGTAAAGGTTTTCGCTGTAGAGCATGTGACCGGGAAATTTGTGATGAGACATTTTCGTGCACATTACGAAGAGGAGGGGCATATGTATCAGGTAAGAATATCATAAAAGTCAAAGGAGTGTCGAAAGTTAAGTCAAGAGGCTAGCCGGTTGACGAGTTGGTAACCGTTCAAGGATGATGTTGAATTACTCGTAAAAGCACGTTTACTTGTAGAGTAAGATACATTTGAACGTCGGAATTAGAGCTTAATTAAGTTCGAATGCGTACCAGTCCCAGTTAGTTCCTAGTAAACTTGTTCATTTTGGGAATGTTCAGAACGCAAGCACACCTTGACAGTATATAGACGTAATTAACTATTCAGTATTCACAATTTTTCTCTGCTTTGTATTGTTTATAAAAGAAAATAGTTCGTAAACCCTGTTCTCTGTAATTTGCAAATAGAAATTAATAGAGTTAATATTAGTAGTTAGAAGGAAACATGGGGTTAATTAATTGCCTTGGAATGTTACATCATGCCGAAAGAATCATACTATAGCCTGATTCCGCCCCTAGCCAGTCTTAGAAAGGTAACTCAGATTAACCAGACCAACTGCGCTACCGCATGCCCCCAGTATTGGGGTACATGTCCTCCAGAAAGAGGAGTGTTACCCAAGACTAACATGTTAAGGTGTAAAGCTAGTGCCCTGTAGTACTACATAATTTTTCATCCACAGTTCAGCCCTGTAGCAAAGTTTATGTGTCATATTATTTATTTGTATAACATTTTTTAGAATTTCCGAACTGGGTTGTAATGTTATCTAATTACTTACTTACTCATGGAGCTGAGCCCTTCTGGAGGAGCCGCCAATTCTGCAGCTACTCAAGAATTTCCCAGCATTTTATGGAACCTGAAGGTTCATCACCGTGTTCACAAGAGCCCTCCACTGGTTCATATCCTGAGCCAGATCTATCCAATCCATACCATCCCATCCTATCTCTAAGATCCATTCTAATATTGTCCATCCACCTACACCTTGGTCTTCCCTGTTGTCTCTTTCCTTCTGGCTTTCCCACCAGTATCCTCATCTCCCCCATTAGTGCTACATGACCTGCCCACCTCATCCTCCATGATTTGATCATTCTAATTATACTTGAAGAAGAGTACAAGTTATGAAGCTCCTCATTATGCAGTTTTCTCCAACCTCCTGTCAAATGTTATCTAATTATAGATGATTTCTTAGTAAGAACATACCTTTATTTTTGCTTTATCCAATATTTAAACTGCATTTCTGGAGACCTGGCCATGATCAACTTAGACTGGAGTAACCAGGTAGCTCCATGGAGCTGAGTCATTGAGAAGCCCTCAGTTGCTAAGCTACTCAAGAATTTCCTGACATTTTATGGAACCTGATGGTTCATTAGTATGTTTGCAAGAGCCCACTAGTGGTCCATATCCTGTGCCAGGTATAGTCTAATCCATGCCACCCATCTCTTTCCTGTAAGATCCATTTTAATATTATCCTCCCATGTACAGCTAGTACATCAAGATCTTCCTAGTGTTCTCTTTCCTTCTAGCTTTCCCAACAAAACCATGTCTGCTTCATCCTCATTGATTTGATCATTCTAATTGTGTTTGGCAAAGAGTACAAGTTACAGAGTTCCTCACTGTGCAGTTATTTTCGGTATCCTATTATCTCATCCTTCTTATGTCCACATATTCTCCTCAGTACCATGTTCTGAAACACCTTCATTTGGCATTCTTCACTTATTATCTGAAAATGAAGTTTCACACCAATACAGAACCACAGACAGTGTTATAGTTTTTCTACATTCTAATTTTTACATTTTTGGACAGAAACGAGAAGACGAAAGGTTCTGGATGGACTTGTTGCAAGCATTATCCGAATTCAATCTCCTCTTAATTTCCTGTTGAATCAGCTTTTGGTTTGCTGTTCTGATCCCCAGATATATGAACTTTGCCACATTTTAAGAAGATCTATTAGCTATCTTTATATTACGATTTTTCCCTGCTTTCTGGTGCTGAGACTGTGACATATGCTTAGTTTTCTTCTGTATCAGTCTCCATACTAACATAAATTACAGTTTGTATGTTTTTATATGATATTTATGTTATCTTTAAATATATTTACATCATCAACATAGACCAGCAGTTGATGTGCCCTGTTTCATTTCAGTTCCACTTGGTTTCCTCAGACCTTCCTAGTGTCATGTCCAAAAGCAAAGTTGAAAAGCAATGGCATAAAGCCCTCCAGATATATTAAATAAGTTGTTGTGGACAGCTGACAAGGGGTTGGGTGTGGGGCCAGCAGGTCCTCACTGTGAAAACTCATCATGTTACAAAATATTAAATAGGGCCTTGGACTTGGAGGAATTCTTTTAAAGGGCATAAGCAAAAGAAAATGGAAATGAGATTTGGCATGTGGAATGTAAAGGGTCTCTGTGGGACAGGTTTGCTGACAAAAGTTGGAAGAGAATTACGAAAGTATAAATTAGATTTAGTGTGGGTACAGGAAGTCAGATGGGACAGGGGTTGCACTGAACCAGCTGGCAGTTATACATTTTTATATGAAAACAAGAATGATAATGATGGACAGGATTTTTAATACATAATGTAATATAAAAACCATCATTACATATATGCATGTGTGTATCTTGTGACCATGTTGTATAAGGTTCTGTATTAACTGTCCACTGGGTCACGTGGTAGTGTAGTTGGTTGAGACACTTTGCTACATGTTTTGAACCCGTCTAGCGCATTTATCTGTCCCTGTGAGGATCCCAGCACGCCGTCCCATATTCAAGAATTGGATGTACTAGTGATGTGTAGGCTAAACTTTTAGTGTTACTGTTTCCCTTTTCAAGAATTGTAAAATTAAGTGCCTTCCAAGCTTTTTCCACCGCGTAATTAACTTTTTTTATTGCTAGTGGGGTGGGACTAAGTCCCTTGTACTGTGGCCAATTCTGGCCTATTGTACCAGCCCCAGATGATAGGTGAGGGTGATTGTGGAGCAATTGGTAGAATGAAGATTGGCAGGGGAAACCGAAGTACTCGGAGAAAACCTGCCCCAGTGACACTTTGTCCACCACAAATCCCACTTGACCAGCCCCGGGATCAAACCTGGGCTGCCACAGTGGGAAGCCAGCGAGTAACCACTTGAGCTATGGCACGGCCCCTTGTGATTAACTTGATCAGCCCAACTTAAATTGTGTAAAATTATTGTCAAATATTTACAACTGCTTGCTTCTGGAATAACTATGCCCCATAACAAATAATTTAGTGGTTCCATCACTCGGGCTCTTATGAAAGAAACTGCCTTGCTTTTAGCTTGATTAAGTATCATCGCATTTTCAACCACCTGCTCTCTCAACGTATTCAGATCTATCTGCAAACTTTCTATATCTTGTATTTTCCCTGTATATTATAGTCCTCTGTGAAATGTCTAATACTTGGCTCAGTATTTCTCCAAATATCATTTACGTACACGAGGAACAGCAGTTGACCCAGTGCACTTCCTTGCGGTACTCCTGACGTTACTCTGACTTCCTCCAGTAACTGCCCTCCTACTCTAACTCTCTGTGTATGTACGCGAGGAACAGCAGTTGACCCAGTGCACTTCCTTGCGGTACTCCTGACGTTACTGACTTCCTCCGGTAACTGCCCTCCTATTCTAACTCTCTGTGTACGTACGCGAGGAACAGCAGTGGACCCAGTGCACTTCCTTGCGGTACTCCTGACGTTACTCTGACTTCCTCCAGTAACTGCCCTCCTATTCTAACTCTCTGTGTACGTACGCGAGGAACAGCATTGGACTCAGTGCACTTCCTTGCAGTACATACATACATATTTATTTCGTTCCAGAGATCTACAATTGGCAGTGCTGCCTTGAGATATAGAACATGTCAATAAAAAGTACATTTAAAATGATAAATTGTTAAAAATTAAATATCCAAGACATTTAAAAAGGCCACATATAATTGTAGTACATTAACAGTTGTAGAACACAAACAAGTAACACATCAAACCAAATCACAGACACGACACCGAAACAAACAACGTCAAAAATCAGGTGCCATTCACAACAATTATAAACAAAACCAGACAGATAATATTATATTCTAGATGTGACAAAATAATAGGCGCAATCTTTATCTATAGGAAGCACAATCATTCCTTGATTTCCATTCATAATACTCATGTAAGGAATAAAAAGAACCCACCTGCAAAAATTTTTTTAGGGAATATTTGCCTGACATTACTGTGACTTCCTCCAGTAACTGCCCTCTTACTGTAACTCTCTGTGTATGGCCCAAAAGGAATTTCTTTATCCATGCAACTACTCTTGAGTCCACTCCCAAGGCTGCAATTTTTGTAGGCAACTGATAATGAGGAACTAAGTCCAAAGCCTTTGAAAAATTTATTATAATAGTGTCTACCTACCTCCATTATCCAGTGAGTCTGCAGTGTCCTGGCAAACCATGATTACTTGATTTTCACATTAATATCCAGGCCTGAATCCATGTGATGATGACCTCAACCATTGGACAACCTGCAAGGGGTGAACAAAATAGTGGAAACACTAAGCAGCTGAGGAATAGAGTTTGTTTCTGTTGGCTACATTAAAGAACTTCAGTTGGGGCACTGAATGTTCTATATGAGTGCGTGCGTGAGAACACCCAGGGAAGCCTACAATCCAGAATGCCTGCTTCCAACAGTGAAACATGGGGGAGGTTCTGTGATGGTTTGGGCAGCAGTATCGTGGTACAGTATTCTCTGTTGGTCCCATTATTATGCTTCATGGCTGAATTACTGCAAGGGAATATGTGGACTGTTTGGGTAATCAGGCGAATCCCATGAACCAGATATTCCTGAATGATGCAGTTTCCAAGATGACAGGGTTCCATTCACATGCCTGGAACTGTTCAGTCAGTGTTTGAAGAGTATGAAGGTGAACTACAACATCTTCCCTGGCCAGAACAATCACCAAATTTGAACACCACTGAACCACTGTGGTCAGTTCTGGAGACTAGCATGAGGAACAGGTTCCCACCTCCAACATCTCTAAAGCAACCTGAAGATGTTGTTCAAGGAGAATGGTATAAAATTCTTCTAAACACTGTTAAAATCTTGTATGAATCCATTCCCAGAAGGATTGCAGCTATATGCAGCTGCGAGCTAAGAAGGGAACACACATCACAAGACACAGTTTACACAGAAAATAAGAAAAAACAACCCCATAGTGAATGAACCAAACGCAAGTTTTAATTAAGACACATAAGATAAATAATCTTAACAAGTTTTAGTGAGTGTAAATTTATTATAGTTGACAAATGCGCACTTTTTTTAAATACTTTTTAAATGATGTTGTGAAGACATATCAGGGCAAGCAATGCAATAGATTAACGTAATTAGGGCACCTGATGATGGCACTATGTTGCCGAAACATGTCGTGAAGTAACAGGTGAAATTGAGTGCACTACAAGACGGCCACTGTATACATATCATGGATGAAAATCAGTGCAACAGGACGCTAAAATACAACATTAGAGAGATATATTTACAAAGTATACAAGAACAATTTACATATGAATGACATATACATCAAGGCACATAACCCAATATTTCAAAGAGTGTATGAACTTTGTAAGTTAGGTAGCAGTATATACTCCATCAGATAGATATATAAGCAGGAGCAACTGCACTAGGGTTAGTATACATGAAGACCACACCAAAAACACATACACAGGAAAAAAAGATTACAAAAATGTAAGTACGCAAAACTTCAGCATTTGAGACATAGAGACAACATGATAAAAATCATACTAATACATATTATACATTACAGTATGGTAGCTGAAAAAAATAATACAATGACAGTATTCTGGATATGATACACAACAATAAAACGACAACATGCATGGGAGCACGAAAGACAATTGGACAGTGCAGTGGTCTCCCCACAAATTAAAAGTTTCTTGATGGCCCATATGCTGCCGAAACATGTTGCAAATTGGGGGGGGGGAAACATGTAAAACAAAAGACATTTTGAAATACGAGGGCAAATCGAAAAGTCTTTGCCACTATTTTTTGTTTCAGCCTCAATAATACACATACAGGGAATTCAGAATACAGGCAGTGTTCCAAGTACCTTTGACTATTTTTCCACATAGTCGCCAACCCAGTTCAGGCATTTATCCCATCACACCACTAGTTTGGAGATGCCGCTGTTGTGGAATTTGGCCGGTTAAGCACGGAAGCACCACCAGAGAGCGGTTTTCATGTCATCAGAAATGAACCCCTGGCCTGCCAGGAACTTCTTCAGTGGATCATCCTGGATCTCATTGTCACCGGAGATGAAACGTGGGTATTGCATTTCACTCCAGAATCCAAGCAGCAGAGCACGGTGTGGAAACATCCTGGTTCGCCTGTCACGAAGAAATTCCGCAGAACGCCATCCGTCGAGAAGTTGATGGTCACCGTCTTCTGGGAAGTTCCTGGCAGGCCAGAGGTTCATTTCAGATGACATGAAAACCACTGTCCAGCGGTGGTTCCACGCTCAACCGGCCGAAATCTACAACAGCAAAATCTCCAAACTAGTGGTGCCTGAACCGGGCACGAGACTATGTGGAAAAATAGTCAAAGGCACTTAGAACACTGCCTGTATTTTTATTTCCCTGTATGTGTATTATTACGGCTGAAAAAAATAGGGGAAAAGACTTTTCGATTTTCCCTCATATTTTGATAGTCACTTTTAGTGTATAAGATACACTTGCAGTGTCTTAATGACATTTTATGATATTTAATAACATTTTAAAGTATTAAAGTTACACTTTTAGTGAAAAAATATATGTTTTAGGTGTATTTTATATCATTGTTGCATTATTGATGGTGTACTTGAATAATAAGAGTGATTCCATTATTTTGTCCAACTGCTGTATTTCAGTCAGTCAGGTTGGGTTTATCAGTGGGAGATAACAGGCAAATATACAATAAAAATTGTTATAATGCATGTACAGACCCCAAACTAAGACAGAAAAGAAGTGGAAAATAAACACAAGAAACCAAATCCATCAGCACCAGTGCATAGGAATAATTTTAGATTTTCATGTTACAACAGTATATAGATCATAAAGACCTTCCCTATGAGATGCTAACCTCATTGCTGGAAGGAATATTGAAATTGGGTTGGTTGATCAGGTTGGTTAAACCACATGGGTCAGCAGCTTATATTTCCTATACCTGCTGTTACTTGCAATTTCCATAGTCCTAGCTTTATCCCAGTCCACTGTATGACCTTCATAGGCATGTTGGGCTAATTTTGATTTTTATGGATGACCCTCTTTGAGATTGACAGACCCTGGTGTCATGTATATGTGTAACTCTTATAATTATACAGACAGATTGTTCAACCACTCCCCTAGTTGTGAGACAGTAAAATATGGGCATGTATCTCACAGAACTCATAACCACGAATGACTGCCAGCAACAATTTACCTGACTGACCGACCTGGCCTGACATAGACTGTCCAGTGACTGAGGTTAGCTTTTCCTAACAGATTGAACAAAATACTGTCTCCCACCCCTTCACCTGAGGATGGAAATGGATCCAATTTCTAAAATGTGTTCCTTTGAATACCAGGTGCTGGACAAAGTCCTGAAAACTTGTAATCCTGAAGGTTCCTTATTAAGTCCCCTGATCATATTTGTGTTATTTAGTTTTTAGTGTGATGTTCATTGTGTGTTTCTTCTTGGTCAGTGTCTGTTCACATCTTCTCTATTAATGTGTTTTTCTTCCTGCAGCGTGTGCCTATTGGCTTTTAGTTGTTGTCAGGTACTTTAATAATTGAAGTGAATTGAATTACAATTAGTTCATCAGACAGTGATGCATAAGGGGTTGAGAGAGAGCTCATACACACACACACATCCATGCATACCTCTTAATTTGGCAGTAATTTTGAGTTTGTAATTACTTTCTACATTTATGTTATGTTATAAATATATATTTATCTATGTTACTTACCTAAGAACATAATATGCATCCTTTCCTATCTTTTTAAGGTGTTTTAGATTGTGTGCAGAAAAGAGGGCAGGGAAAGAAACTTTCCCTCATATGTTCATGTGGAGAAAATGTTGGAGACTTTGTTGCTTACAAGAAGGACCTGAAATATTGTTTAGACCTGGGGAAAGTTAAAAGGTAAAGAACATTCATAACAGCTGTTGAAATGTGAACTTTTACTTCCGATGAATCAGAGGTCATCAATACATCCTAACACCAATAAGTTCAGTTCAGTTCAGTTTACCATAGACAGTTCCTTTAATTTCTGTTCTATGATCATTCCCTCATCTTAGCGTAGTTTATTGAGGCACTATACTACGAGCCGGAAGGTTCCAGGTTTGAATCCCGATGAGGTCATTGGATTTTTTCAGTTTACCTAATCCTTCCAGCCACACTATGGCCCTGGGGTTGACTCAACATCTAACAGAAATGAGTACCAGGAATATTCCTGGGGGTAAAGGGTGGCCGGTGCGTAAGGCTGACAACCTTACCGCCATCTGTGAGCTGATTGTCTAGAAGATGTGGGAACCTCGACTTCTCACAACCCTATGGTCCTTCACAGCCTATTACAGGGATAGCTTTGTCTTTTTACCATCTTCATGTGTTTTCTGTTTGTTCGTTCAAACTGTCAGACATTTTGGGAACATCTTTAAGGATGCTAATGGCACCAAGTCAAGAACGTGTGTTGTAGTAAAGTAAGTAAGTAACTAACGTCATGGACCTGAATCTTGTTTGAGACGCCACCAGTCGCTCAGCTACTCAAGAATTTCCCAACATTTTAAGGAAGCTGAAATTTCATTACCATGTTCACAAGTTCCTCCCACTGGTCCCTATCCTGAGCCAGATCAATCAAGCCTATACCACCCCATCCTGTCTCTCTAAGATCAATTTTAACATTATCCTCTTGCCTATAGCTGGGTCTTCCAAGTGGTCTCTTTCCCTCTGGCTTTCCTACTATCATGTGTATGCATGACTCTCTGTCATACATGTTATGGCCTGCTCATCTCATCCTCCTTGACTTGATCATTAATCATTATAATTATATTTGGTGAAGAGTTCAAGTTATGGAGCTCCTTGTCATGGTATTTTCTCCAACCTTCTATCACTTCATCCCTCTTCAAGAAAAATATTCTACTCAGCACCCTGTTCCCAAACATCCTCAGTCTGTGTTTTTCCCTTCATATCAGAGACCAAATTTCACATTCATACAAAACTACTGGTAATATTAAAATTTTCTTTATTCTAATTTTTGTTTTTTTAGACAGCAGATGAGAAGATGAAAGGTTCTGGACTGAATGGTAGCAAGTATTGCCCGAATTCAATCTCTGATTAATTTCTTCCTGATATAAAATTTTGATTTGATACTGTCATTCCCTAATGTTTGAAGTTCAGGTCCAAATGAGGTAATTGGATTTTTTTTCAGTTGACCTAATCCTTCCAGCCATACTATGGCCCTGGGGTTGACTCAGCCTCTAACAGAAATAAGTACCAGGAATTAATTAAATAATCTTCCTGGGGAGTAAAGTGCGGCTGGCACATAAGGCTGACAACCTTACCGCCATCTTTGAGCCGACCGTCTAGATAATGTGGAACCCTCAATGTCTCACAACCCTACGGTCCTTCACGGCCTGTTATAGGGATAGCTTTACTGTTTATTTTACTTTAATCTATATGTTATGATTTTTCCCTGCAGTCTGGTGACGACAGCAGTATATACTTAGTTCTTTGCCTTTACCTCTAGACCAGGCTCCTTCCTAGGATCAGTTAGAGGTCCTGTGTTTTTATGGTATCTCTGTTATCTCCCACTATATTTACATCAAGAGCATAGACCAGCAGCTGATGTGTCCCATTTAATTTCAATCTCACCTGGTTTTTGTGGGCTTTCCTAATGACATATTTAAAGCAGAGTTGAAAAGCATTGGTGATAAAGCATCTCATTTTAGGTCAGTCTGGATAGAAATGTTATCAGACAAATGTTTTTCTGTATGGACTTTACTATAGGTTTCATTTAAACACATTTTAATCAACATAACTTGTTTCATGGGAACCACGAACTCTGAATCATAGGCCTTTTTAACCTTTAAACGCCAGACTTCGAAATAGTGGTAAACTTGAGCTGGCCGGAGTTCATTTAAATGCCCGTTGCTCCCTTGCGTTTAAATGTCCGTTCCTGTTAGGCGGTTAATCAAT